CGTAAATGCTTGGATGTGGTGCTGTCATACAATTTTCAACCACTATTTTGAAAATTCAGGTTAAAAAAGAACCGCTAATGACCAAACGATGAAAATAAGTGACCAATCCTGACCAAACGCCGACCAATCGATTATATATATTTTTTTCTCGTAAATGCTTGGATGGGGGGCTAGCACATACAATTTTCAACTCCTATTTTGAAAATTCAATCAAAAAAACGGCTAATGACCAAACGATGAAAATAAGTGACCAATTCTGACCAATCGATTGCATACATTTATTTTGCGTAAATGCTTGGATGGGGTGCTACACAGATGGGGCCCCCATACTGCATTATTTTTTTATCTTATCAATTTACTTAAACAGCGGTTTTCAAACAGGTGGCAACCCTCCTCAAAAGTATTTTCTACAGTAACTATTCCTAAGCCTCTTCAACTTGATATCGATATTGCAATATTAAATTTTTCTCGTCAATTAAATAAAATTAATATTTCAAACAGGTGGCAACCTTCCAAAAAAATATTTCCACCTGCGAGCCTTCTTAAACCTCTTTTTTGACGCTCAAACTGCATTATTTTCATCATTTTAGCGATTTGCTTAAAAAGCAATCTTCAAACAGGTGGCAACTCTCAAATTGTTTTCTTTCTATATTTTAAGGTATACCTCTAGAAATACACTGGTGAAAACCGCATTCGATTGCCTGCATTCGTTTTCGAGTGATGCGCGTGCAAACATACATACCTCTTTAGTTTAATATCTGTATTGTAATATTTCATTTATTTTACCAATTTAAATGAATACAATTTTTCAAACAGGTGCCGAATCCCCTAAAAATATTTGGTTTGATGCCCATATTGCATTATTTAATTTATGTTATCAATTTAGATTAATAAAAGTTTTCAAACAGGTTGCAACCTTCCACAAAAATATTTTCAGCTGTAAACCCCTGCACACCTCTTTCTTTTGACAGCCATATTGTAATATTCACTTTATCGTATCAATTTACTTAAATTGAAATTTTCAAACAAATGGCAACTCTCTCATTTTTTTCTTCTATATTGTAAGTTAGCACAGCTAGCTATACATCGGTGAAAACTGAATTCAATTACATGCTTTAGTTTTCGAGTGATGTGCGTACAAATATACAGAAATACAGACAGAAAAAAATTCTAAAAATTATTGATTTGGCTTCTGTAGTTCGAATAAAGAACCCCATAATAATTTTTTTATAATGTACAGACATCATCTGTTATAATATGATTATAAGTAAAAATAAAGAATTCATTTATTTTTTCAATTTATTTCAATAAAACTTTTCAAACAGGTGACAACGCTCCTCAAAATTATTTTCGGCAGTAAAATTTTCTAAACCTATTCTAAACCTTAATAGCCATACTGCAATATTCATTTATCTTAAAAATGGCAAATCTCCGAATGTATTTCTGGCATGAAAAACAGTTTCTCAAAAGATACAATCGCCGTTCGCAGTCGGCGTAAAACTGTAGGTCCCTCCTCTTTGTGTGACAACATCAAGGCGCATGCCACAAATCGGAGGAGAAACTCGGCCAAACACTAACATATGTGTAAGCGCCAATATATTATTACTGTAAACTTTCTTAATATACTTAAATTGTGGAGGGAACACTTTTACAACCTACTGAATGGCTGCAGCGCTGAAAGTAGTGAACAAGACGAACCCGAGTCCCCAGTTGATTATGATGGAGTAGCTGTCCCACCGCCTGACTATGACGAGGTACGAATAGCGATTACGCGGCTGAAAAACAACAAAGCTGCTGGATCTGACGGCCTGCCATCCGAGCTATTCAAGTACGGCGGCGAAGAGCTCATGAGGTGCATGCATCAGCTCGTATGCAGAATATGGTCAGATAAACGCATGCCCGACGACTGGAATTTAAGTATGCCCTGCCCAATCCACAAGAAAGGCGACCCTGCCATATGGGCCAACTACCGGGGAATCAGCCTTCTAAGCATAGGTTATAAGGTCTTATCGAGTGTATTGTGAGAAAGACTGAAGCCTGAAGCTTTAGGCCTAGAAAATCATCCATAGATCAGGTATTCACAATACGCCAAATCTTGGAAAAGAACCGCGAGAATAGGATCGACACACA